CGTGACGATGTCAGGGAGCCTCCGACCACCAGAATACACTGACTGTGTATGCAGGTGCGAAGATCAGGTAAGTAAACGTTCTTGGCACCAGGGTTCGACAAATCCCAGGCGCCAGGCCATCAATGCAACTAGAAATTGTGTCCTGGCGCCTGGTCAGCCCGTTCATTGCACCTCCGTTTCTTCTCCACCGCTGTTGCAGTGGATCCTCCCACACTTGGGTGTCATTTTTCAGCTCTCCTCCTCCCTTCTTGTCCCTGCGCACGGTGCTGAAGAAAAGCGAGGAGGTGAGAAGAAGGTAGTTCACATTAATCTCAACGCAGAATTCTGAATGCAGAATGTAGACCGCTATAGCCTGTGAGGAGAGACCGCTGACAGTCTGTGACTGCATTTCCCCCATGCGGCCCCCCATTATCCCCCGGCCGCCCCCTCTTAGGATAAACTGCCAGCCACAGATCTCCAATCTATCGGCCGGCAGCAATAGCAAGCCTGCTATTGGCTATTTTAAATTGCAGTGGCCAATAGCAGGCTATTTAAACCCGCCCACTACCTGCTGTCAATCAGATCAGCAGAGGAGGGCCCCGGGGGAGAACGTTCTCCTTCAGGAATATGTTAGTGCTATAATGAGAAGTAAGATAAAATTATCATCAATGCCGTGGCTCATAAACTACCTATATCTCTCAGAGAAGGCTCTCCGTACCGGTTTAAACACCCTTTGAAGGATAGGTTTCCCGTGATTATGCAGCCACGAAAATATTGTATATATTATTCTGATAAAACGTTGATCATAAATGTAACTCTGAAGGTTCAAGAAAAGTAATTCCTCTGCTAGGTTTTTCAGCAAATAATTGAAGTTCATATTTTGTCCACCAGAGGGAAGCAAAGGTACTTGTGATATGCAAATTACACATGCAGACCGAATGATCACTCCATCCAAAACCAATATATACAGTATATTAATTTACTGCAAGTATGTGATATACTGCCGACAATTTACACAGCGCTTCACAAACTGTACATTCACATCAGTCCCTGCCCTCAAGGAGCTAACCTTCTAAGATCCCTATCTCACATGCATACTTACAGGGCCAATATAGACAGGAGCCAATCAACCTTCCAGCATGTCTTTTGGAGTGTGGGAGGAAACTGTAGCTCCTGGGGAAAACCCACGCAAGCACAGGGAGAACATGCAAACTCCATGCAGAAAGTGACCTGGCCAGGATTCAAATCAGGGACCCCAGTGCTGCAAGGCACAATATTTCACCCTGTTGCAGATGATGTTTGAGCGTTAGAACAAATCACAGTTTTCTATATCTTTCATGGATTTCCGAGATGAACACTTCCTGCACCCGTTATGAGGATCCCCCACCATTCCTGCTGGACTTTTAATTTATTTTATCCTACGGAGAATGTAACAGGAGGGGGGAAAAAAACACAGGGTTGGCTCGGACACCCAATACTCAAAAATAAAGCTGAACCATTGTGGGGGAGTTGGCGGCACTGAACACCCCAAAAAGATAAAAGACAACCAGCAGGCCCGCTCGCCAGACTCCACCTATAAACTGTAATATCACCAACCTTTAGTCCTGGAAGGCTCATTCATACAGGTGTGCTGCAGCGCCTACACACCGCAGGTAAACTGTCCTGTACTATCATACAATGGATATTAAAACTGTACACACCCTTGTAAAAATGCCAGCTTTTCCAGACCTTTAATCTGTGCAATTTAATTAAAAACAAACTGGAATCTTTAAAGGGGGAAAAAAATGCAAAACTTGGAATAGCCTGGTTGCATAAATATGCACACCCTTAAACTAATACTTTGTTGAAGCGCCTTTTGATTTTATGACAGCATTCAGTCTTCTCCTGGAAGAGTCTATCAGCATGGCACAGCTTGCCTTGGGAATCTTTGCCCAGTCTTCCTTTCAAAAGTGCTCCAAATCTGTCAGATTGCGGGGGCATCTCCTGTGCTCAGCCCTCTTCAGGTCCCAACACAGATTTTCAATTGGACTCAGGTCCGGGCTCTGGCTGGGCCATTCCAAAACTTTGATCTTTTTCTGGTGAAGCCATTCTTTTGTTGATTTGGAGGTGCGCTTTGGGTCATTGTCATGCTGAAAGGAAAAAAATCCACTTCATCTTCAGGTCTGAAGTTTTTGTGGCAAAATTGACTGATATTTGGAACTGTTCTTAAGTCTCCCCACTTCAATTAAAGCCCCAAAGCACAATGTTGCCACCACCATGCTTCACTGGGGGTATGGGGTTGTGTGGGGTAGGATGGCAAGATAGAAGTCTTTTTTCTTGTTTGCTTACAATAAATTCTGCTTTTTAGCACTAAAACCACATTTTCCATCGTGAAAAGTTAAAGCTATAGCTGTAAATATCTACACTGCAATGACAAGGAAGCCACAGCAGCCAATCAGATCAGTGAATTAAATGAATTCTGGTTGCTGCTGTTATCTTACTCAGAAAACACTTATTTATTTTTTCCAGGAATTGTTATTTACTATACAGTGTATTTTTATTAAACACCGACTTCATGAATTTTGCTCTGCTTGTGCTGAACAATCATGTTTTGGCTTGCTGCGTGCTATGTACGCTATACCTGTAACTGGCCAGGAGACCTGCGGGGAGGAAGGAGGCCCGGGAGATGTGGAGAGAGCATACTGTACACAAGGCAATATTAATCACACTTTTCACAGCCTGATGGACGCTGTTCACACCCGTCACTGCCTGACCAACGCCGATCACACCCGCTACTGCCTGACCAACACTGATCACACCCGACACTGCCTAACCAACACTGATCACACCCGCTACTGCCTGACCAACACTGATCACACTCGTCACTGCCTGACCAACGCCGATCACACCCATTACTGCCTAACACTGATCAGACCCGACACTGCCTGACCAACACTGATCTAGGGCTGCAACAACTAATCGACATAATCGATTATAATCGATTATTGGAAAAGTTGTCAACTTAAAGGTCTTGTAGTGATGATGGGAGAGTCTGCCCTCTGTGTAAAGTCTTCTCCAGCACATCCCAAAGATTCTCAATGGGGTTAAGGTCTGTACTCTGTGGTGGCCAACCCATGTGTGACAATGATGTCTCATGCTCCTTGAACCACTTTATCGCAATTTGATCCCGATGAATCCTGGCATTGTCATCTTGGAAGAAAAAATTCATTAGTGGATAAACCTGATCATTCAGTGTATTCAGGTCGGCAGCTCATTTTTTGGGGACACAACATTGTGAACCTAGATCTGATAAACTGAAGCAACCCCAGATCATAACACTGCCGGAAAACCAGGTGGTGTTTAACTTACAGGGTTATTCAGAAAAGGGTGAAGAGTTTGGAGAAGAGAACAATCTAGGACAACATAGCTGAACTGGAAAGTGAGCTGAATTGGAGGATTTTTCCAAATCAGCTATGTTGTCCTAGATTGTTCACTTCTCCTGCCAGACTCTCCACCCTTTTGTGAATAACCCTGTTAGTGTTTAGAATCAGGTTAAAGTGTATGTCCAGACAAAACGCTTAGTTTTTGAGGGGGATGTTTTGTCATTTTTTTTTTACTGCTAATTTTCCCTTAACAACCACTAGCCAGTTGGCTACCCAAGAAGGGTATTATTACACAAATAAGGGTATTATTACACAAATATGGGAACTAGGATTAAATGCTCAGGAACAGGGCATAGAAGAAGAGGTGAACGTATGTGTGAATGGAGCAGGCAAGACAAGTAGGGCAAGAACCATTTGCAGATATATACAACACAGAGCACAGTCATCACCTGTAGCATTTGCTGTGTTGTAAATTTGGCAAAAGTCACTAAGACTAATAAAGTTTGGGAATCCAGAAGCTGGGGAGAACGGGACATGACCCAATGAACGTGCAGATGGTAAAGAAGATGCAAATGTGTGTGTCAGTGGAGGGGACGTAAGCACTATAGGAACCAATGGCTAATGTAAACAATACAGATTGCGGTCAGTGATTGTAGCATTTTTCAGGTTATAAATTTGGCCAAAATGATTGAGAACGGGAGACCAGAAGTTGGGGGCAAAGGACCATGATCCGAAGAACGTGAGGCGAATGCGGGTGTGTGGGTGGAGCAATCAGGAACCGATAGCTGGCATAAACAACACAGATCTGCAGCCTGGTGACCGTAACATTGTAAATTCCATTATAAATTTGGCCAAAGTTACCAAGCCCAATGGAAAAATTGTGAGAACAGGATGCGGGTCAGCGAATGTGCAGCTGGCTCTGCGTTACTACAAAGATTCGCCAGGTGCTTACCGCTGAACAAGTGGTGTATGATCCATTAACTTTATTAAAAAAGCAACTGCCATTAATTAAAAAAAAAAAAAAAGGGACTCTGTTCTAACACCAAGGTGTCACTGGCCTCCTCTGCCTGAAGTAACACCTCACAACAATTTCACACAGGTAGCTGAAGTGCAGCCATCTTGTTCACCACACGCACACAGGGTTAAACAGGAAGCAAAAAGGAGGAGGGGCCGTCTCCGTAGCAACAGCCGAGGGCTCCCAGCTACTACTGCGCGGAAGACAAAGGAATCCCTCGGGCTCCTCCCACGCCGCAACGCCCCCTCCTTCTCACAACCTCCAAGACGATTGGCAATTCCACGCCTGCGCAGTACGAGCAAAACTCGAGCTGCCTGAGGCGCGCGCCCCCTGATCGCGGAGGCGCGTACGTCGTCGCGCGGCAACCAAAGTTAGACACAAGAAGAAAAACTCTTTGCGTTAGTAAGAGAAGCCGGTCCGGTAGGCAACGACTGGCTCAGGCGAGAAGACAAAACGGCGGCCGGCTTCTAACGCGAGAACCCGCTTTGGGCACCATTTTTTTTTACCTCAGGCAAAAGCGCGCCTGCGCGAAGTTTATGCGGGCTCGCGCACCAGCCAGACGGAGGTGGGCCAACACCGCCAGTACGCCTCGGGCTGCGCGGGAGCGCGTTTCCTACTTTGCTCCTGCGCAGCTGCTCGGTGACGCCCCCTCCGTCGCGGAGGCGAGCACGTCGTCTGCTGAGCCGCGCACGGCGCGTGCTAACGGACTCTGAGAGGGGGAAAGAAGGAGCTCCGGTCCGGCAAAGTCTTGGGAGGGACAGCCGAAAAACAATAACGAAACCGGCCGGGCCGACGATGATTCGTTTAGCGGGTCCTGGCTGAGGCGACAGGAGGAGGAAGAGTCCACCGTGATCCTTTTACCTCAGGCAAGCCGCCAAGAGGCCTCAGGCCTAGCCGCGGGTAGAGGGGTGATGCCGGACCCGCGCTGAGCATGGAGGAGACCCATATCTCGTGCCTGTTTCCCGAGCTGCTGGCCATGATCTTCAGCTACCTGGACGTGCGCGACAAGGGCCGGGCGGCGCAGGTGTGCGGCGAGCCGGACATCGAGAGCCTGAACCTGAGCGGCTGCTACAATCTTACCGACAACGGCCTGGGCCACGCCTTCGTGCAGGAGATCGGCTCCCTCCGCAGCCTCAACCTCAGCCTGTGCAAGCAGATCACGGACAGTAGCCTGGGCCGCATTGCCCAGTACCTGAAGAGGCTGGAGGTGCTAGAGCTGGGGGGCTGTTCGAACATCACCAACACAGGCCTGCTACTCATCGCCTGGGGGCTGCATGGCCTCAAGAGCCTCAACCTGCGCAGTTGCCGCCACGTCTCCGATGTGGGCATTGGCCACCTGGCTGGCATGACCCGCAGTGCCGCTGAGGGCTGCCTGGGACTTGAACAGCTCACCCTGCAGGATTGCCAGAAGCTGACCGACCTGGCCCTCAAGCACATCTCCCGGGGGCTCCAGGGTCTGCGTGTGCTCAACCTGAGTTTCTGCGGTGGCATCTCTGACGCGGGGCTGCTGCACCTCTCCCATATGGGCGGCCTGCGAAACCTGAACCTGCGCAGCTGTGACAACATCAGCGACACGGGCATCATGCACCTAGCCATGGGCAGCCTGCGACTTTCTGGTCTGGATGTCTCATTCTGCGACAAGGTGGGCGACCAGAGCCTGGCCTACATCGCCCAGGGCTTGTACGGTCTCAAGTCGCTGTCACTGTGCTCCTGCCACATCAGTGATGACGGCATCAATCGCATGGTGCGCCAGATGCACAGCTTGAGGACCCTCAACATCGGCCAGTGTGTGCGCATCACGGACAAGGGTCTGGAGCTCATTGCTGAGCACCTGAGTCAGCTAACCGGCATTGATCTGTACGGCTGCACCCGCATCACCAAGAAGGGGCTGGAGAGGATCACGCAGTTGCCCTGTCTCAAAGTGCTCAACCTGGGGCTCTGGCAGATGACCGAGAGTGAGAAGGTCAGGTGAGGGCTTCCCCACCACTGGCCTGCATCATCTATGGAAGAGACTCTTGGACTGATGCGTTATACTGCCTGTAGGGCCACAAGAGAGGAAAGTAGAACGGGCCGTGTCTAGTGCCACAGGGAGATGGCAGCGGGTCTCTTGTGGCAGTAGAAATGGTTGTCACAGGGGTTGTTGCCGCTTCTACACCTGTATCGTAACGCAAAAGCCGCTCCCTGTGTTCATATACGGCATGGGTTAACCACTGCCAGTGTGGCTGGCCTGTCACTGCCTAATGGTGCCAGTTACCCTATATATGGTTCATCTAGGGGTTTCTTTGCTGGCAAACTGCAAGTCCCAGTGTTCCTTGCTGTGTTTGAAATAGCACCAGGGTCATGAAACTTTCCAAATTGAATAGCATCAAAAGTTGATTTCCATAAAAACAGTGAATGCAGTAAAGGTAATGTGTCATTGAAGAGCACTAAATAATGCATTAGTCTGATTATTATTTAAATTCATATCCATTGCATTTAATGCTTTCACTGTTTTTACGGTGACTCTTGCTTGGGGTGGGGGGGCATAATTCCATTAAAACCTGTTGGCGAGTGCAAACCTGCTGTCTTTAAGACCTTCGGCAGTTGAAGAATCTTCAGCATCTGTCATGCTGCCAGGTGTATCAGATGCTTGGTTCCCTGCTATGCACTGTTTCTCCATCCGCTGGTCCGTACAGGAAACTGTAGTGTCCGGCGGGTGAACGCACGGGGCACGCTGGCATCAGGCTACCAGAAAGTGTCAAATGCTGACTATTCTACCAGATGCCATAGTTCTGGAAAATGGTGAAGTGAGAACTTGCTGCCCAATGGGGCGTTTTTAAGAGACCCCTTTTGCAAGGAGCCTTTTGGGTTTTTTTTAGCAACATTCTTTTTATTGGTGTACTGGCCACAGAAGTACAAGCCTTTGGTGCTGCTGTCAGGACAGGATTGTTTTTGCTTTTAAAATGTCCTTTTTAGTACTTCACAGGGACCCTGGGGCTTGCAGTTTGCTAACAAACAGATGGTATCTGCTCTTGCTCCTAACCTAATTACTAGGGTTTAGTGTGAAGTGGTTAACTCATGCCGACGGTCACCAGTTCAGTTCTGTAACAACGGAAGGGTTAATGGGAGCTGCACCAGTAACATTTCTTAATTTTAAACATTTTTGTAAGTAGTGCAAACTTTCCAGCGCATAACCCCTTCTACCTAAACATTCCCCTGTAACGTGGCTGAGATTTCTTACCGGTATTATTAGTTACAGGATATTGACATTAAAACTTTTTATTTCCGCATTTCTTATCTCACTTTATTTTACAAAATATATTCCATATAACTGGCTACCTCGTTTTTAACTTTTTTTTTTTTTCGCCCTGGAAAGTAGTGTTTTGTTTTTTTTTCTAGTTTGTTTTTTGTGCCTAGACTGGAAAAAGATCCAATTTTAAGGGTTCTTTAAAGACATCTATTTTTTATTTTTTTAATCTGCTCTCCCTTTACTCCTTGCCCTTGTAAGAACAATTCTTGTTTCCCAAGAATGATCCAGGAATCGTATGCCCACTCTTGCCTAGACCAATATGAGGTTGGCCCCTTAATTTAACCCACTCATTCCCTGCCAGCCCTCTTGCACATAGCAATGTACTAGCGTTCCATCCAGCAGAGAGTTAGATAAGTCCTGTTTTTAAAGCAGATGAGACCCAGTCAGTCTCGGTTATTCTACTGTTTTTATAAACTGGTTTATGACTGCTGTTTTATATTCCTTTACGTTTTTTAAAAAAAAAAGTGTTTCCCATGCTCAGATTGGTATCCAACCTTTTAGCGTGATCAGTGTTTAAAAGCTGAGTCCAGTTAAGTTTGAACAGTTATTATTGTTCCAGTTACAGATTTCAGTTTTAGAATGAAAGTACAAGCCTTTCTCAACTCTTGCTGCTGGAGATGGTGCAAAGCCTAGTTCCTTGCTGTTGACAATAGTCAAATTATATATGCAAACATGAGATTGTATCTGAATTAGTGGGAGCACAATCCTTGGTCATAACCGATTGGGGTTGAAAGATGTACTCACTTTGTTCTGTGGATCACAAAACTCATTCAGCTAGTTTGAGAGTTTGAATTGAATTCACACATGGACTTTCTTGGTATTTTTGTTTTGTTTTGTTGAAATGAACTTTGTTTCCTCCCACCCCACCTCTCCCCTTTTTTGTTTTTCCTGAGCATCTCCACAGTTGGATCTCACCTAGAAACGTGCCGAATTTCATTGTACTGTCTGTGAATTTGTATAAAGAAAAAGATCCTCCGAAAACGCTTTATATTCTTACAGTTAAAAGGATAAACGGATATTTATATAATAAAAGAGGAAATATGATGTATGTTTTTGAGAAATAAGTTGCTTCTGTCTGTTCTTTATACATCTGTGGGTGTGCATGCGATAACCAAGTGGCAAAGGAACATTTTCCCATAGCAGTCCATAGCATAGCCCATAACCATAGCAGGTTTTATAATTGAGTTATGAGCAACCATTACAGTTTTGCTCCAGTTTTTTTTCTTTAGTACAATTCAAAATCACAGTAAAAAGTATTGCTGAAGGGTGTTTCTTAAAGTGTGTATTTCCACATTTGCAGCCAAATTTAGATAACATTTTGTATTTGCTTCATGTTCTCATTCAAATAGCATAACTTAAAGTGAAACAATCTGTATGTATTTGTATATTTGCAGTAGAACAATGTCAGTTGGTATCTGGTTGCTATGTGCAAATCCTTAATTTGCTTTCAGTTTTATAAGTTATTTACTGAACACAGTGCACATAGTGTACATTACCATGCACTAGGTGCATTGCCATTCACTTGAATGGTACCCCGACATTAGTCCAGGCCGCTGTGCGCTGCAATGCACAGTACTGCACACGCTACATTTTTTCACAGTTCTGCAGTACTATGCATTGCTACGTTTAGGTGTGAATGGGCCCTAGAACTGTCAGAAGTAAGTCACCTTAGGGCTGCCATATATTACCTGATATTCCCAGTGACCAGCTCGGTAGTGGTACTCTACTACAGAAATAACAAGCATGTTATTTAAATGCAAATGTTAATTTTGCATGCTTTGCCAAATGCACTTTATTTTCTCCATAGACAATCTTATTAGTAGTTAGTTGTGAATGTACTGCACGGTGTTCAACTCCACCCAAAACTTATTTTTGATGGGATAGGGAAGAGTTAGAGCATGTCAGAATTTTGTTAATGCTCTGTGTGCCCTGTCCATTTGCCGTGCTCTGCCTGTGTGGCCAGTGCAACATCAAGGGATGAGAAACCACCTCCAACAGGAATACAGCAATAAAAATGATTATCAGTGTGAAAGTTAGAAACGTTGTTAGGCTTTGATTGCTATCTCCATATTGGGGTGCAGACCTCATTGGAAACTTGGCTCAGGTTCTAACCCTTCCTCGCTCCTAATTCCAAACGGAAAAAAAAAAGTATTGAGAAAACCGGAGGCTGCCATTGCTGAGAACTTATTCCTGGGATATGATTGATGAGAACTGACACATTTAGCTTTCCTGGAGAAATGAGAGCAATCCTCAGCAGGGCATACATTTTTAAACAAAGTGCTTTCTAGCTTGAACCAGTTCGCTGTCACTGACCTAGGCCATGCAGCAGCAGTAGTGGGGCCTGTAAGTAGACTCCCAATTAGGGCTGCAGCTAACGATTATTTTCAAAATCGATTAGTTAGCTGTTGTATATAATGTATTATTGCTGGGATTTATAGTTCCTCTATAGCTGGTGCTATTCTTCATTGCGCTGTATATGATTATACTGCGAAAGTCAGATTACCACTGACCAGTTATATTACTACAAACCCCAGCAATTATACAGCGCAATGGAGAATACCATCAGCTAGAGGAACAACAAATCCCAGCAATAATGCATTATACAGGGTGCATAATGTATTATTGATGGGATTTGTCGTTCCTCTATAGCTGCTGGTGTTCTGCAATGCGGTGTCATGAACAGAGATATTTCCAGATGATAGAATTTCCAGCCATCATGTATTAAGGTGCACCTGAGATTTGCCCAATAAGGTCTATGCAAGTGCTCAATTACTTACTTGCTTTCCGAAGATCCTCATCTTCCCTTCACTCATCTGCGACGGCGGCGTGCTCTGCAGGCGTCTGTCCGGCTTGTGTAGTGGGCGTGGCGTGCGTAGCGTAACACGTGTACGGAGCCGCAAACAAGCAGGCGTGAGCGGGAAATTTAAATTTTAGCCGACGAATCGACGTAATCGAATAATTGTTGCAGCTCTACTCCCAATGTCTCATAAAAAAGAACATGTCACCACTTAAGTGCTATCACATAGGGAGCTTGTGAATACAGTAAAAAAAAAAGCCCCCATGTACACGCTAATACAAACACGTCGGATGCACCTATGTACGAAATAGACAGTTGTGCTACGCATGCCACCGTGTGAGCAATAATTCTACAGCCATTATTCACAGATAACTAAAGCATTGGCCATAGACAGCTTTGGGTACCTTTTTTGCCATTATGCCGCACATGTAGTTTTGAAGCTTGACATGTTTAGTATCTATTTACTCCGTGCAACCCCATTTTTACTAAAAAAAAAAAAAAAGGGTAATATATTGTGAGATAATTTAGCAGGCTGCCATTGTTGACCTCTCCATTCTGATCCAGTAACAGTGTCTGGAAAAAGTATATTGTTGGTTTGGACTTTGGTTACTGCGTGATTGGAATCGGTGACCTCGTCCTGAAACCAGCGATGGGGAACTATGATTTCCAGACGGCCAGTGGTCTCCATATTTTTTTACAAGATACCCTAAATCCATTCCATGCCAAAGCATGGCCACCCTGTATGATGGTGCAGCTCTTGTCTGACTTAAATGTGTATGCTGTAGTGTTAAAGTATATCTAAAGCAGGGGGTGACTAATATAGAATTCAGAAGCCACCAGTATTTTCTAGCAGACAATAACTAGAAAGAACCTGAAAAGATAGGTGCCAGCTGTCAATTGTAAAGAGCATTTGCCTACCCTGCTCCTGAGATTCGTCCAGCCCGGGTCTAAAGGCAAAGCTTTTTGGATGGAAATCCCCTCGGATGTCACTACAAGTGTCCCGATTAGAAGAGTTTCCCTCTCTTCCTGTTATGGTGACAACTTAATATTTGCATTTTCCCTAACTTTCTGCTCTGTTTACAAACAATGGTCCATAAAACAAACAGAAGGGGAATATCTAGTGGGCACACAGACAGCAGGGGAGAAAAGCTTTTTCTATATTCTCCAAAGAGTCAAAAACATGCTGTGGATTACACTACAATACATTTGAAGTAATTGTCCCATGACAGGCCCTACAATGCTTCCTATAGCTTTCAGACCCCCCCCCATCCCACCCTGTAAGTTACAGTCCACTAGATAACAGGGTGGCTGCGGAACCTTCTGTTCCCGGTTGACCAGATGGGGCTGTTTAAATAGATTTCATAGCCTTTATATTGTGATAGTCGATAGGATTGGAGAATTAAAATTTAGCAAAGAGACACCTATGTTTCAGCTGCAAGATTAACTATAATATTGTCAGGCCGGCAAACATATTGCGGCTGCGGATTTCAGAGATAAATATAAAAATAGACAACATCATGGGTGGAGGCAGATCTGGCCTGTGTAACGCAGCCATTGTGTCCTGCTGCTTGGGGGGAGTGTTATCTCCTTACAGAAACCATGTTAATCCTTTTGCTTCCAAAGATGTCTTTGGCAGTATTGTAAGGAGATCCTGGTAAGATCTGTGAAGATTCAGGGGGGGAGCGGTGGGGGAGATGTAACATGCTTAAAGGATTCAGCCATTGTTGGAAAGTTGGGCCTCCTCCCTCTGCACTCATTCATGCATACAGAATTCGCTGTGTCAGGGGGGGTCCCTTTAAATGGAGCAGGGAGGGGGATGCTTCTTTTCCTTTTACACATTCCACTCTCGGCTGCAGCATGAATGCTGCTTTTTTTTTCTCTTCTCAGACTGTTCCAGAAAGGCCGCTGTGTACAAAATCTGTGAAGTTAAGTTTTGCACTTTTAGCTTGTTGTACTTGTTAACCGCAGGCGGCGGGTTCCTTTTGTTGAACCGACTTTCCAAAGAGAACAAATAGTGTTGTTGGGTACCAATGTACCTGGTGTAAATCCATAAAAGCAAATGTTTAAAGTGGGACTCTGGGCAAAATAAAATAATTGCTGCGGTTTCAGTAGTTTTATTACCTGGTGATCCCGCCAGTAGTTGCGTTATTTTTGGAAGTCCTTGAACAGGCCAAGCTGTCCAGTAAAAGTGGCCGTTACTGGGGTTCCATCAAGTCCTATTAGGGCTTATGCTTGATGGGGGTTTGAAACACAGGTCAGATAATTAAACAAATTACAATGATCGACGCACAATAGAAAATGAGAGCAATGTTTCACACCCCACTAAATATGTATCCATGATCGTTTGGACCATTACCAGGTATGCAAAGCCTGGAAAAGGGGAGCTTTTAAGAAAGATATTACTCTCACTGTATGAACTTGATCAAATATAAAAATAGTATTATAATGAATTAAAAATACATTATTGCATTTAAAATAAACGCAAATAACTTGATGTATAGGTTTAGTACATGGTCCAAATACAATAATTGTTGCAGTAGTCTAGTTGATCATGGATTGATTAGAAGATGGTAACATGTTTCACCGCTTGAGCGGCTTCCTCAGGAGGACTTCAATCCTTGAAGGCTATTTAATTCATACAGCAAATCAATATCCATCTTATTAATAAAAGATCAAACATTAAAAAAGTTAACATAACAAAAGGGAAGTTGGTAAAAAGACCTGCAACTTGTGGACCACCCAACGAGAACGAGCCGAATAGCTCGGGAGGGCAGAGGTCACTACTGCAACAATTATTGTATTGTATTTGGACCGTGTCCTAAACCTATGTATCAAATTATTTGCATTTTATTTAAATGCAATAATGTTTTTTTTTAAATTCATTA